AAGGGGAAAAGAACCCCAAAGCTCATCAGGCTTACCAAGAAGGTAACAATAATTTTATTTCAGCATGACCTCTTGTTTCATGGTTTCATTGGCATATAGACTGTTTGTGGAGGGGCGTATGTAAACAGGAGGAGGCTGATGTTAATCCTTGAGCATACCACTGCTACGAGTGTCCAACTTAAGACTAACTTAAGATTAACCCGTGAACGGTCCAAACAGATCTACGTTCACGTGTAGTGCTACAAAAGTAGATCTACGTTTTTTTACATATTTTCAAATGTAAAAAAACAAAAAGAAGATCTACTTTTTTTACATACTTTCAAATGTTGAAAAAACGTATATATATACGTTTGGACCGTTTACGGGTTAATAAGGCAATAACAGTGCAGTAATTTTGTACATATGGTCATTAGGTGAATTTGTACTGAATACAAGAGAACTGAATATTCTGTTAGTTCATGCTATATGGCTTTAATAAGTTTGGTAGAGAGGAATTACAGTGTAAGTTTATTTGAGTACAGGTTCACATAAATAGTCACACATTATTTTGTGCACCTCTGCAAAGGCAGTGATAGTGTGAATGATGGTGAAAGTGTTTCTTTTTTTCTGGGGGTCACCCTGCCTCATTGAGAGACAGCCAGCATATTAAAAAAATAATCATACATAGCAGCATATGTATAGGTTACCTAGAATAACCCAAACAAGTCAAAGTGACTTGTTTCCATTGGGCTCCTTGTAATATCATACTATTTAAACTTTAAAAGTTAAAACAACTAAGTAACTCAACTGTGTGAAAATCAATTACAATAAAAGGAGATATACTAGGAAGAAGGTAAACTGAATTATTTACATTAACATTAAAGAGAGGATCAGCTCACAGTAATAGGTACAGTGGTACTGCGAGTTTCAGCCATAATTCATTCCAGAAGGCTGTTTGAGTACTGTTATCAAACAAATTTGTTCCCATAAGGAATAATGAAAATTAGATTAGCCCGTTTCAGATCCCAAAAAATAAACTTACAAAAGCACTTAGAAAAATACACTTACATAATTGTTCGAGTTGGAAGCTGTTCGAAACTCGAGGTACCACTGTACATGAATGTTACAGTGGAAATAAGTCATTTCGACATTTTTGGGGAGTTATCCTGGAGGGTAATTTACACACATGTTACTGTGTGAGATTATTATTATTATTATTATTATAATCAAAAAGAAATGCTGAAACCCACTAGGATCATACGGCAACTATATGTTATAATTTGTGTAACTGTATTTGTGTGTACCAGTACCTAAATAAACTTACTAACCTCATTATTCTACACAAATGCAACATATCGGACACCGGTCTTTTAAGTTTTCTTGTCTAAATGTATAACATAGTCTGTTTTTATTTTTTTTTTGTATAAAAACTGCAATTTTTTTTTTTTTTATTCTTTTTTTTTTGGCACTAGCCGTGTCTCACTGAGGTTGGGCGAGCCTCGGAAATGTTCTACATATGTCAGAGTATTGTATCCACAGTGGTGTATTACAGACCATTCTGGAAAGATACCCTGACTTTACCCATTGTAAATAATGCATTGCTACTTAAACGTATACGTGTGACCTTATTTACGTCTGCGTAAATAATCCATTACAATTGTGACAGATATAAACATGTAAATACATAGTTCATTACCACTCTGACTTGTTCAGCTATCAGAACTTTGTATCCCAGTCCCTGGACCCATTATGTACCTCTGTAATGTTGAGGTACAGTCCCTGGACCCATTATGTACCTCTGTAATGTTGAGGTACAGTCCCTGGACCCATTGTGTAATAATAAATTTATTTCTTTTCTGAAGTGTACAGGTAATGTAATTTACTTGTAATAAAATATTGCTAGGCACAAAAAAGTCACTACCATGCAGCGCATGTCAGCCAGACTAATACAAATGCTTAAAGACTGCTTAAGAACTAGATATGGGCTATTAAGTAGGAGTTTTTAAATGTACAAAAATGAGAGGTATCTAAATGAACAAGAGTAAAATTTTAAGTACATGTATATTACACTTTGAACTGAGACATTGATCTCCTGTTAAGTGGGACTTAGGTAGTTTCTAAATGACTTGGTCTTCAGTTTATGGAACGACTGAAAGAGATGGTGCCTCTAATATTTTGACTATCGCTCAAAGGATGGTTATGGAGTGCATAATAAATATATTAAACTAAACTTGTATAATAAAAATTTCAATTTTCCGGTGCTGACTCAGGAAGAGGAGGAGCTGATAGCAGAGTGGATACCCGAGCCACTGGTACCCAACCCACCCAAGGATGACCATCCAGCGCTCCACACCCGTACAGTGTATGGCAAGGTAGTTGTGTGGGCAGAATGTGATTGTTGAAAATGGTATAAAATACGACAAGATGATGAGTAAGATACATGCAACAGTTTTCTTAGTCTAATGCAGAGTATAAGTTGAAGGCAGCAGAAATGAGGAGGTAAAGATAGTATAATCAGTTCATTAACATTGTAGAAATAATTGAGGTTGTGAGTCCCTCAGTCTGGGGAAAAGTTCAACTCCATAACTGTGTTGATTGTGTTCCATTACAAAGGGAACATAATATATACTTCCTTCCAAAATTATTCTCAATAAATTGATCCTCTAACTTTTGGCAACAAATATGAATCTTTAATATACAGTATACTCTTAAAAATAGCAGTAGACATCATTAATGCAAATCTTGACGGAGTTAGTGATGTAATTTCATACCTAAATGCACAGGAATTATTTATAGTATAAAATAATCTTGAAAAGCTAGAAAATGTCACTGATCAAATAGCCTTGTGTAAAATGTGAAATTTTCAGTAATCTTGGTTAGTAATGTAAGGTTTTAGTATTTAAATCAAAGATGAAAATTAGACACGTGCAACATCTGGGTATCTTATCGTAGATGTTTTGCCATCCTGTGACTTTATGAATACAAATTCAAGGACATAATTGCAAGATAGTAGAACTATACAGAAAAGATGAGGTAATTAGTCCCTCAGCCTTGTAGCTGGTGAAGAACACCATAGTCTTCAAGACTACAGTGAAGAACACCATAGTCTTCAAGACTACAGTGAAGAACACCATAGTCTTCAAGACTACAGTGAAGAACACCATAGTCTTCAAGACTACAGTGAAGAACACCATAGTCTTCAAGACTACAGTGAAGAACACCATAGTCTTCAAGACTACAGTGAAGAACACCATAGTCTTCAAGACTACAGTGAAGAACACCATAGTCTTCATCATGTTGGTATTATATACCATTCATGTAGATCAAAGATATGCTACTCATAGAGGTTTGCCTGTAAATAAAAATTTATATTCTGCTCTGGTAAAAAAGTGAATAATGTCTTGTGCATTATTAGCACGTTGAAAGCATTATCTTTTCTGTTCTTCATTTACATGGCATCTTGACTGCTGATTGTGACCTCTCAACACTAACTAGCTCAGGGTTTTATTTTTATAGAAGAACTTATGACCTTTCAAGAGGGGGGAAGGGGGAGTACCTTGAGGCTAGCAAAAGGCTTTTCATCCAAGGAATTGTAGCCATCCTCTTCTTTGAATCTAATCTCCCATTTCCCCTATAGGTTTAGTGCTTTTCCCAGGATTGAAATAATAATGATAATGTTCATGAATTTAGAGGATGATGATATGTGTTTGACTTGCAAATTAATTTGCTTTTGTGCTCATACTCTGAGATAAAAAATTTTGTTGTCAGATTTGCACAAGTAAAAGTAGGTTGTGTATATTGCATACAGGCATATCTAGTTAATATGGTGGGTTAGGATCCAGACAACCACTGTAAAGCAAATGTTGCTTTAAAGTGAAGTACTCCTGTACAGTACAGGAGGGTCCTGTTCATACAGCTCTAATGTGGCGTTGGTTCTTATGCAACTTGTACGAAAATGGTGACAACAGCAGAACAGTGTTAAAAGCACCCAACATAATGAACAGTGGCTCAGTTGAAAGCCAACAGAAATGTGAAATGCCAAAAAGAGGTTTTGTATATGCAAGGTCCTCCTGTATTCAGTACAAAAAGCTAATGTTTTAAATTGCTGCTCTACTTTAAGCCTGGACGATATTTGGATCTGGGCTCGGGAGACAAGCTGCTGAACTTAGGCAGTCACAGCTATCTCAACCTGGGTGAGCGACCAGAGGTAGAAGAGGCTGCCCTGGAGTGTCTCCACAAGTACGGGGTCGGATCTTGTGGCCCTCGGGGTTTCTACGGCACCACAGGTGAGTGCCTTGAGTAGTTGATTTCACTATACAGTCTCTCTTCATTTAACAGAGGAGTTCTGTTCCTAAGACCATGTCAGTAAACGAATTCGTCGCTAAGTGAGGAGCATACTATAATGGTAGTGAGTTTGCGTCAACCATCTTTGATATTGTTTTAATGTCACCTTTAATTTCACATTTCTGGTATATTTTCAAATGTTTATACAGTAGTGTACTGTATATTGTAATAAACAGAATAGAGGAAATCAGCTCTAATATACATTATTTAGGTATGCATACTGGCCAGAGACCCTGTCGTCAGTTTGAGTCATTGGTAAACGAGTACTCGCTAAGTGAGGAGAAGCTGTATAATAACTAAACGCTAAATCCACAAGGGTCATACAATGCTGCAGCGTAGCATGTGCTAAAAATTTAATATGCTTGATCAGAGATTAGTGAGGGGGGAGACTATAACAGAGGTACAGTTAGTAAGGGCGGTGCTCTAAGCAGAACATTATCACAATATTACAGAGTGCGATGTTGCCCTAATTTCAGCTTGTTCTGTCTCTTGCATCCTTGTTTTCATATGGGTCTCTTTGCATAATTTAACAGTACTGTATATGCAGAATTAACTACAGGTGTCCCCTTGATTTATGCTGTAGATGTGTTTCAAGCCCACCGCAGCTGTTCGAATCTCAGTTAGGCCATAAATTTTTAATCGTGCATAATGAGAATCTTGAATGAGCTTTGTGAACTGTACTGATTGCATACAGTGACCCTATTTGACATTTACTGAATTTCCCATAGATTTTTTTTTTAACGTACTGGCTGTCTCCCACCAAAGCAGTGTGACATAAAAAGAAAACAAAAGTTTTTCTTTTTACATTTAGTAATTTCCAATAGAAATACAATGTCATAATAGCAAATTTGAGTCAAGCAAATGCACATAAAGCAGGTGAGCTGAACTCTAGTGGTTTTATGACTTATGTAAGTTTAATTCTTTTTGTAATAATGTATAACTAAAATTTACCACTCAGTAACTTGTCTAAACTTAAGTAGTCTGTAAGCATTAGGATTAGTCTACCCAAAATGCACATGCATACTAGTTTTTTTGCTTAACTATTTGTTACTGTTGACAGAGGTGCATCTAAAGTTGGAGGAGAGGTTAGCCAACTTCTTCAATTGTGAAAAGGCTGTCCTCTACTCCTATGGCTTCTCCACCAGTGCATCCGCTATCCCGGCCTACTCCAAGAGCGGCGACATCATCTATGCGTGGGTATTAAGTCCTCATGTCCCTCCATTGCTAATATCTTGACAGGGCCACATCCTTCAAGGGAGAGGGGGTGCCTTGATAAGATAGAATAATATAAGATTTGTTTGGATTTTTAACTTAGGGGAGGGTTAGCCACACAGGATAACCCAAGAAAGTCAGTGCATCATTGAGGACTCTTATTTCCATTGTGGTCCTTTATATCTTGTCCTCCCAGGATGCCACCCACACCAGGCAGCTAACACCCAGGTACCTATTTTACTGCAAGGTGAACAGGGACAGCAGGTATAAGGAAACATGTCCAGTGTTTCCACTTGTGCCAGGGATTGAACTATAGAGACTGTGAGGCAAACGTGTTGCTAACCAATCTGGTTGAGAGCACTTGATCCAAAGAATTGAAGCTACCCTTTTTTCTTGGCTCAAACCCTGGCACTGTGTAGCCTCTACAATTTTAGCATTTTCGCTTGAAGAGAATAATAATTGTTACATCCTCATTACTGTTTTGTGCTGTAATACATCTGCATATGACAGTAATGTAGTAGTGTCCAAGTCTGAGATATTCCTTCGGTTGGGTGCCTTGATGCTGGTGAATGGTTCTTGATCAAAGGAACTGGAGCTGCCCTGTCTTGGATCAAACCTAATTTTTCCTCCCAAGTGTTTCACAACCCTTATGAGTTTAGTACTACTTTCCTGGGAAGTACTGGCTGGAGGCAGTGGAGATGTGGTGTCTAAGGGCAATGTGTGGCATAAATATGCAGAGAATTCATAGTATAGAAATTAGGAGGAGGTGTGGAGTTACTAAAAGTATTATCCAGAGGGCTAAAGAGTGGTTATTGAGGTGATTTTGTCATTTAAAGAGAATGGAGCAAAATAAGATGACTTGGAGGGTGTACAAATCTGTAGTGGAGGGTAGGAGGGGTAGGGGTAGTCCTAGAAAAGGATAAAGGGAAATGGTACAAGAGGTTTTGTGTGCAAATTGCTTGGACATACAGCAGGCATGTTTAAGCGTGTTAGGTGTGAATGGAGACAAATGGTTTTGGGGACTTGATGAGCTGTTGGAGTGTGAGCAGGGTAATATTTTGTGAAAATATTTAGGGAAACCAGTTAACCAGACTTGGGTCCTGGAGGTGGGAAGTACAGTGTCTGTACTCTAAAGGAGGGGTTCGAGATATTTATTGTTTCGAGGGACGTCTAAACCATCGTATCTATGCACCTCTGGCAAGACAGTGATAGTGTGAATGATAGTGAAAGTTTTTTTGGGTCACTTTTCATCAGTGGGAGACGAGCAGCGATTTAAAAAAAAAATTATTCTTTGAATTATAAAATTTTTATTAATCATGCAAATTATCATTATTATAGCAACATCACATCCTGCTATTAATTTTAGAATGATATACCTTTGATAAGTTCCTAGAGTTTTTCTACTACTGGAGCCTGGCCATGGGCCAGGCTGTGGTATGTTGATTATTATTATCATTACAATCACAACTAAGCACTAAACTCACGAGGTCATACAGCACTGCAGGGTAGGATGTGCTAAAGATGTATGTACTATGCCAGATCAAAGAGCAGCAAGGGCAAAGAGCATGCCAAAGGCAGTCAGTAAGGGCAGTGAGGAGTGCTAATAGAAAATTAAGATCGAAGTTGCTGTAATAAAGCTGTCATGTTGAACAATGTATCAGCAGTTTATTTTGATCGATTTTTACAGGGATGAAATGGTGAACTTTGCCCTTCAGCGAGGACTGCAAGCCAGCAGGAGCCGCGTTGTCTATTTCCGGCACAATGATGTGGAGCATTTGGAGGAACTTCTTGAGGAACAAGCACGTCTTGACAAAAAGGTAGACATACATTGCTGCATTGTGTGCTCAGACTACACAGTTACCATGAATTTGAGTGAGAATTTGTTGAGTATAACCTGTACAGTAAGGCTAGAAGAGGTAATTATCCTAGGATCACTGGGCGTGAGAATTTGTTGAGTATGACCTACTTATGGCTAGAAGAATGTTACCCCAGGATTGCTGCATGTGAGAATTTTTTGAGTATGGCCTATATAAGGCTAGAAGAGTTAGCTTCCCCAGGATCTCTGTGTGTAAGGGGCTCAAGGCTTCATTTATATAACAAATTTTTCTTTAATAGAACAAAAGAAATGTCATTCTTAACTTCAAATTGATATGTGTAATTTTGTTATGAATCATTTTGCACAACTAATTATTAGGATGATTCTTGGAGACTGCTACTTTATGTGAAGCAGTTGTTGTATACTTTATGAATTTTTATTATACAATAATTAGTATTCATTGTATTCGTTCAGTTTTTTCTCATTATAATGAAACAACGTCAAACAAGACGATAAAGGGGTTGCTAACTCCATGCTCTCACCATTTTAGTTCCTTTTTATAACATGCAACTTGTGGGGAAAGAGTTCTAACCCACTATCACCATTCTTGGAGGTGGGAAGGGCAGTGCCTGCACTCTGAAGGAGGGATAAGGATGTTGCAGTTCAGAGGGTAATCTGAATTGTGATATCAGTTCAAGATAGCGATTGAATGAATGATGGTGAATATGTTTTCCTTTGTAGGGTCACTTTGAATTGGTAGGAGATGGAAGTTGTTGTTGTTATAAAGAATGAACCAATTTATGGTGGTGAGACTGCCTTGGCAGGATCACCACCAAACTGGTGGTAAACCTATGCTTTTACTTAACATATTGTCAGTAATTCTGTCAACATTATTACTCATGTTTTATCAAATGTGGGCTTCATACTGGCACTCTTTCTTCCATGTATAATGCAGGATCCAAAGAAAGCCAATGCAACCCGCAAGTTTATGGTTATTGAATCAATTTATATGAACACCGGCAAGATGTGTCCTCTGCCAGAGTTGGTGAAGCTGCGCCAAAAGTACAAATTGCGTCTCTACATTGAAGAGTCGGTTTCCTTTGGCACGTTGGGGCCTAACTGCAGAGGAATCACCGATCACTACAATATACCGGTGAGTCTGTCTTGGGGACGTGATGTTCTCTCTCTCTTGACGATGTGGTGAAAGTTCTTTCTCAGTGAGATTACTTCATCTCTACTTTCGTCTTACTTATTCCCCCCTCTCTCTACCCCTAGTTCCTGCTCTTTCATATGTATGCTGGCTCCCCAACCTTCATGTGTTAGTGTGTGACTAGTTGATAGTCCAAGTTAGACCAAAACATCATCTTAAGTTTCTTTCTGCTGTGTGTGACTTATTTGTGCAATAAGATAAAATGTGTTGGCATCATTTAGTAAATACAGGTGTGGTAGACTCAGCTGGTAAATTAAGTAAGTGGCAGTGGCTGTAGCTGCTGCTCATATGTCAGCAGTCCTAGGAAAGGATAGAAGGAGGGAGTAAAAGAGGTTTTGTGCGCAAGGGGCTTGGACATAGCGCAGGCATGTGCGAGCGTCTTAAATAGGAGTGAGTGGAGACGAATGATTTTTGGGACTTGGCGAGCTGTTGTAGTGTGAGCATGGTAATATTTTGTGAAGGGATTCAGGGAAACCAGTTAACCATACCTGAGGTGGGACGTACAATGCCTGCAGTCTAAAGTAGGGGTCTGGGATATTTGCTGTTTAGAGTGACATCTAAACTCATATGTACGTACATGCCTCTGGGTGACGGTGTGAATGATGGTGAAAGTGTTTCTTTTTAGGGTCACCCTGCCTTGGTGGGAGGTCTGTAATACCTATGATGAGTTTCAACCAGGCTGTTGCTATTAAAGGCCTGCTGCTCCACATATCCATCACAGCTTGGTTGATTGGCCAACATGTTTAAAAAAAAATGTTAGTAGTAGTAGTAGTAGTAGTAAGGACTACATTTTAGGGAAAACAAGACAGCATGATAGAATCGAAAGTTAGGCTAAATCTAAATCAGGAGGAGGTTCTGGGGGTCAGTGCCCCCACAGCCCAGTTCATGACCAGTCCTCAATGCTGACAAAGCACCACATTAAATTTTTAATTAATCACCAAATTAAGTCGCACTTTGACTGTGAGTGTACATGGGAAAGTGTCAGATTCCTCACAGCAAATGCCGCTTTCCAGTCACCATATTTTGTTTCCTCACGCCGCACAGATGAAGGAGGTGGACATGATCATGGCTACGTTGGAGACATCGGCAGCCAGTTCAGGTGGATTCTGCGTGGGAACCAAGTTTGTCATTGAGCACCAGCGACTGTCTGGCCTCGGCTACTGCTTCTCGGCTTCCTTGCCACCGATGCTGGCCGCTGCTTCCATTAAGGTGTGCCTGCATCCTCCTGTTTCATAATGGATATTTGTGGTTTTATAGGAGACTATTAATAATAAAAATTTTTATTTCTGTGCAGTATACAAAATGTAGTCTATATGTTTTAAAGTATTGTTAAGCACAAAAGACTGGTACTGGCATGCTGTGCATTTCGGTTGAATTACCAATAATATGTTAGGTAAAAGGACACAAGTACAACTAATGTGACATTTTATTGTGGCAACGTTTTGCTCTCCAGGAGCTTGTATCGGCTTGACAAAACTCCTGGAGAGCAATACGTTGTCGCAATGAAGTGTCATATTAGAACACACGTGTCCTTTTACTTAACGTATAGAAAACTAGTTAAACTTCAAAGTTTATAAGGTCAACACTCCCGCTTAACCACCTAGATGAAGATCAGAGAAAAGATTTATTACCCTTTGACTGTCACTGTCCTCCAAAATTGAAAGCCCTTTGTGTATCACCATTTAAAAAAAAAAAATCTGATTGGTAGAAAATCTTTTTCTAAAGGTAATAGGTTCCTTGATGCTGGTGAGGGGCTCTTGATCTAGGGAATTGGATCTGTGCTTCAGTTCCCTGAATTAAGCTTGAATACCTTCCACATCCCCTCCCCCCCACAGGCATTGTTTAATCCTACAGGTTTAGCACTTCCCCCTTGATTATAATTATAATCTAAAATTAATAACATCAAAAAAGCCAAATTCAGTGAAAGAACTTGTGGAATTATGCAGGTGCTAAGTTGGAGGTTGGAGAGCACTTTATGTAATAGCAACTTTTGCCTGTTTTGAGGATATTTTACGTCATTTCTAGCCACAAGTGGCTTCTTCAGTCCTGAAGCCACTGATGGCAAAACATTTCCTTAAATAAATTAATGTCCTGAACTGTACATAAGTATTTTTTAACACATTTTGTCGGTATCACCAGACTGTTTCTCACGAGTCCCATTTATTGCACTGTATGATTCCGTCCTATCCAGTGGTCATAAGAAACTGCCATTTAACCATAAGAACTCTTTTGATAATGACCAGAATATGGTAATTTAGCAATTTTTACAGTATTTTCAACATACGACAATTTAAAAATGGTATCCAGAACAGTGTAGCCATTCCAGCTTGAAGTCATAGAGCCAATCTGGAACTTGTAAGATATCCCAGTTTCACACAAAGTTCATAATGGTTTAGAGAACACAGTATAAATGAATAATGGTATAGCATAACAAGCAGTATATAAGAAATCATACAAGCACATTTTTATAATGGTCTAACATTTCATAGTAGGTTGGTAGACAGCAACCACCCAGGGAAGTACTACCGTCCTGCCAGATGACTGTGAAACAAAAACCTGTAACTGTTTTGCATGATGGTAGGATTGCTGGTTTCTTTTTCTGTCTCATAAACACGCTAGATAACAGGGATATCTTGCTACTCCTACTTACACTTTGGTCACACTTCACAGACACGCACATGCATATATATATACATACATCTAGGTTTTTCTCCTTTTTCTAAATAGCTCTTGTTCTTCTTTATTTCTTCTATTGTCCATGGGGAAGTGGAAAAGAATCTTTCCTCCGTAAGCCATGCGTGTCGTATGAGGCGACTAAAATGCCGGGAGCAATGGGCTAGTAACCCCTTCTCCTGTAGACATTTACTAAAAAGAGAAGAAGAAAAACTTTATAAAACTGGGATGCTTAAATGTGCGTGGATGTAATGCGGATGACAAGAAACAGATGATTGCTGATGTTATGAATGAAAAGAAGTTGGATGTCCTGGCCCTAAGCGAAACAAAGCTGAAGGGGGTAGGGGAGTTTCAGTGGGGGGAAATAAATGGGATTAAATCTGGAGTATCTGAGAGAGTTAGAGCAAAGGAAGGGGTAGCAGTAATGTTGAATGATCAGTTATGGAAGGAGAAAAGAGAATATGAATGTGTAAATTCAAGAATTATGTGGATTAAAGTAAAGGTTGGATGCGAGAAGTGGGTTATAATAAGCGTGTATGCACCTGGAGAAGAGAGGAATGCAGAGCAGAGAGAGAGATTTTGGGAGATGTTAAGTGAATGTATAGGAGCCTTTGAACCAAGTGAGAGAGTGATTGTGGTAGGGGACATGAATGCTAAAGTAGGAGAAACTTTTAGAGAGGGTGTGGTAGGTAAGTTTGGGGTGCCAGGTGTAAATGATAATGGGAGCCCTTTGATTGAACTTTGTATAGAAAGGGGTTTAGTTATAGGTAATACATATTTTAAGAAAAAGAGGATAAATAAGTATAAAAGATATGATGTAGGGCGAAATGACAATAGTTTGTTGGATTATGTATTGGTAGATAAAAGACTGTTGAGTAGACTTCAGGATGTACATGTTTATAGAGGGGCCACAGATATATCAGATCGCTTTCTAGTTGTAGCTACACTGAGAGTAAAAGGTAGATGGGATACAAGGAGAATAGAAGCATCAGGGAAGAGAGAGGTGAAGGTTTATAAACTAAAAGAGGAGGCAGTTAGGGTAAGATATAAACAGCTATTGGAGGATAGATGGGCTAATGAGAGCATAGGAAATGGGGTCAAAGAGGTATGGGGTAGGTTTAAAAATGTAGTGTTAGTGTTCAGCAGAAGTTCGTGGTTACAGGAAAGTGGGTGCGGGAGGGAAGAGGAGCGATTGGTGGAATGATGATGTAAAGAGAGTAGTAAGGGAGAAAAAGTTAGCATATGAGAAGTTTTTACAAAGTAGAAGTGATGTAAGGAGGGAAGAGTATATGGAGAAAAAGAGAGAGGTTAAGAGAGTGGTGAAGCAATGTAAAAAGAGAGCAAATGAGAGAGTGGGTGAGATGTTATCAGCAAATTTTGTTGAAAATACGAAAAAGTTTTGGAGTGAGATTAACAAGTTAAGAAAGCCTAGAGAACAAATGGATTTGTCAGTTAAAAATAGGAGGCGAGTTATTAAATGGAGAGTTAGAGGTATTGGGAAGATGGAGGGAATATTTTGAGGAATTGTTAAATGTTGATGAAGATAGGGAAGCTGTGATTTCGTGTATAGGACAAGGAGGAATAACATCTTGTAGGAGTGAGGAAGAGCCAGTTGTGAGTGTGGGGGAAGTTCGTGAGGCAGTAGGTAAAATGAAAGGGGGTAAGGCAGCCGGGATTGATGGGATAAAGATAGAAATGTTAAAAGCAGGTGGGGATATAGTTTTGGAGTGGTTGGTGCAATTATTTAATAAATGTATGGAAGAGGGTAAGGTACCTAGGGATTGGCAGAGAGCATGCATAGTTCCTTTGTATAAAGGCAAAGGGGATAAAAGAGAGTGCAAAAATTATAGGGGGATAAGTCTGCTGAGTATACCTGGTAAAGTGTATTGTAGAGTTATTATTGAAAGAATTAAGAGTAAGATGGAGAATAGGATAGATGAACAAGGAGGCTTTAGGAAAGGTAGGGGGTGTGTGGACCAGGTGTTTACAGTGAAACATACAAGTGAACAGTATTTAGATAAGGCTAAAGAGGTCTTTGTGGCATTTATGGATTTGGAAAAGGCATATGACAGGGTGGATAGGGGGGCAATGTGGAAGATGTTGCAAGTGTATGGTGTAGGAGGTAGGTTACTGAAAGCAGTGAAGAGTTTTTACGAGGATAGTGAGGCTCAAGTTAGAGTATGTAGGAAAGAGGGAAATTATTTCCCAGTAAAAGTAGGCCTTAGACAAGGATGTGTGATGTCACCGTGGTTGTTTAATATATTTATAGATGGGGTTGTAAGAGAAGTAAATGTGAGGGTCTTGGCAAGAGGCGTGGAGTTAACTGATAAAGAATCACACACAAAGTGGGAGTTGTCACAGCTGCTCTTTGCTGATGATACTGTGCTCTTGGGAGATTCTGAAGAGAAGTTGCAGAGATTGGTGGATGAATTTGGTAGGGTGTGCAAAAGAAGAAAATTAAAGGTGAATACAGGAAAGAGTAAGGTTATGAGGATAAAATGATTAGGTGATGAAAGATTGAATATCAGATTGGAGGGAGAGAGTATGGAGGAGGTGAATGTATTCAGATATTTGGGAGTGGACGTGTCAGCGGATGGGTCTGTGAAAGATGAGGTGAATCATAGAATTGATGAGGGGAAAAGAGTGAGTGGTGCACTTAGGAGTCTGTGGAGACAAAGAACTTTGTCCTTGGAGGCAAAGAGGGGAATGTATGATAGTATAGTTTTACCAACGCTCTTATATGGGTGTGAAGCATGGGTGATGAATGTTGCAGCGAGAAGAAGGCTGGAGGCAGTGGAGATGTCATGTCTGAGAGCAATGTGTGGTGTGAATATAATGCAGAGAATTCGTAGTTTGGAAGTTAGGAGGAGGTGCGGGATTACCAAAACTGTTGTCCAGAGGGCTGAGGAAGGGTTGTTGAGGTGGTTCGGGCATGTAGAGAGAATGGAGCGAAACAGAATGACTTCAAGAGTGTATCAGTCTGTAGTGGAAGGAAGACGGGGTAGGGGTCGGCCTAGGAAAGGTTGGAGGGAGGGGGTAAAGGAGGTTTTGTGTGCGAGGGGCTTGGACTTCCAGCAGGCATGCGTGAGCGTGTTTGATAGGAGTGAATGGAGACAAATGGTTTTTAATACTTGACGTGCTGTTGGAGTGTGAGCAAAGTAACATTTATGAAGGGGTTCAGGGAAACCGGCAGGCCGGACTTGAGTCCTGGAGATGTGAAGTACAGTGCCTGCACTCTGAAGGAGGGGTGTTAATGTTGCAGTTTAAAAACTGTAGTGTAAAGCACCCTTCTGGCATGACAGTGATGGAGTGAATGATGGTGAAAGTTTTTCTTTTTCGGGCCACCCTGCCTTGGTGGGAATCGGCCAGTGTGATAAAAAAAAAAAAAAATCATAGGGGTATGTTGCAAAGTACAGTAGTGGCATTACAAGACCCTGGCAGTAGCTGCATTTCAAGACCTTGGCAGTAGCTGCATTTCAAGACCTTGGCAGTAGCTGCATTTCAAGACCTTGGCAGTAGCTGCATTTCAAAACCATGGCAGTAGCTGCATTTCAAGAATGGCAGTAGCTGCATTTCAAGGCCAGAGCAGTAGCTGCATTTCAAGGCCAGGGCGGTAGCTGGATTTCAAGACCGGGGCAGTATCAGCATTTCAGGACCATGGCAGTAGCTGCATTTCAAGGCCAGGGCAGTAGCTGCATTTCAAGGCCAGAGCAGTAGCTGCATTTCAAGGCAAGAGCAGTAGCTGCATTTCAAGGCCAGGGCAGTAGCTGCATTTCAAGGCCAGGGCAGTATCTGCATTTCAAGGCCAAGGCAGTAGCTGCATTTCAAGGCCAAGGCAGTAGCTGCATTTCAAGGCCATTCAGTATCTGCATTTCAAGGCCAAGGCAGTATCTGCATTTCAAGGCCAAGGCAGTAGCTGCATTTCAAGGCCAGAGCAGTAGGTGCATTTCAAGATCATGGCAGCTGCATTTCAAGGCCAGGGCAATAGCTGCATTTCAAGACCATGGCAGTAGCTGCATTTCAAGACCCTGGCAGTAGCTGCATTTCAAGACCCTGGCAGTAGCTGCATTTCAAGACCTTGGCAGTAGCTGCATTTCAAGACCATGGCAGTATCAACATTTCAAGACCATATCAGTAGCTGCATTTCAAGACCATGGCAGTAGCTGCATTTCAAGGCCAGAGCAGTAGCTGCATTTCAAGGCCAGAGCAGTAGCTGCATTTCAAGGCCAGGGCAGTAGCTGCATTTCAAGACCATGGCAGTAGCTGCATTTCAAGACCATGGCAGTAGCTGCATTTCAAGACCATGGCAGTAGCTGCATTTCAAGACCATATCAGTAGCTGCATTTCAAGACCAGGGCAGTAGCTGCATTTCAAGACCATGGCAGTAGCTGCATTTCAAGACCATATCAGTAGCTGCATTTCAAGACCATATCAGTAGCTGCATTTCAAGACCATGGCAGTAGCTGCATTTCAAGGCCAGAGCAGTAGCTGCATTTCAAGGCCAGGGCAGTAGCTGCATTTCAAGACCAGGGCAGTAGCAGCATTTCAAGACCATGGCAGTAGCTGCATTTCAAGGCCAGGGCAGTAGCTGCATTTCAAGGCCAGAGCAGTAGCTGCATTTCAAGGCCAGGGCAGTAGCTTCATATAAAGATTATGGCAGTAGCTGCATTTCAAGACCATGGCTGTAGCTGCATTTCAAGTCAATGGCAGTAGATGCATTTCAGGGCCATGGCAGCTGTGCTAAGCTCAGTTGTGACATCAGTACTTCATTCCACATAACCAGAAGCTTCGAATTGTTTTGCAAATGGCACCATTTGCATACCATGAGTGTATATCTTGCATACAGAATGATCACTTGCAGTGGGACACTTAGTAATTGCAAATTCCTACAAAATGAGGGAAAAATCTGTACAAGTTGCTTAATGACGGGAATATATTCTGAGAAATGCATCAGGTACCTTTGATATACCTTTACCTTTGAAGAATTTCGAGAGTATATCTACTCTCTGAGCCCGGCCATGGGCCAGGCTCGTCTGATGCTTGCCTGGTTGACTAGGCTGTTGCTGCTGGAGGCCTGGTTGATCTGGCACCTTGTGAAGATACTTGTCTAGTTTCCTCTTGAAGGCTTCAACACTTGTTCCAGCAGCGTTTCTGATATCTTCTGGTAAGATGTTGAAAAGTAGGTCTTAATAGCTGTGATAATTCCCTCATCCATTGGTTGGATCAAAGAGGTGGTGTTTGTAGAGAGAAACACCACTTTGATAGGCAATAATAATTTTTCAGATCTTTTATAATCATATGGGACCACAGATGTATATGCAATCCATTGTTGACCGAAACCTCTTTTTGCAGTGCATGACTGTTCAGAACAAGTCGACCATCACTAATTCGGCATCATTGGGACGTGTATGGTGCTGGATTAGTGATTGCCAGATCATTGATGGCCGACCTGTATCATTTCCCTCCATAGTGTCCACTAGTATTGCTGAAATTAGTGCCAGATTAGTGATGGAACCAGAATAGTGATAGCCAGATCAGTGATGGCCGACCTGTAGTTGAATCTCATTCTAACAGTGGCTTTGTTTCTCTCACAGGTGCTAGACATCCTTGAAGCAGAAGGTTCAGACATGGTGATGGAACTGCAGAACAAGTGCCGGCAGATGCAGGAGAAACTTGCCAACATTCATGACAAGGTTAATGTTGTGCGACTTAAAGTACCCACTGACTTGCTTTTGTGAGGTGTAGATATCAATATGTGCCATGCTATTTCTGTGGGTTGGATGAGAAGTCTCATCCAACCCACATATAAAGAGACCCATGATACCACCCTTTCAGAGAGAACAAAAAGGCACATATCATGACTGGAACAATACACAAATAACCAGCACATATGAGAAAGAAACTTATGTTGATGTTTCGGTCTGACTTGGACCATTAACTGTAGTCACATTAGTTAATGCTTCAAATCATCGTAAGTTTCTTTCTTGTATGTGCGGGTTATTCATGTGTCACAATTTTAGTCTTAGAGGTAGACAGTACAGTGCCTGCAGTCTGGAGGGGTTCAGGATATTTCCTGTTTAGAGGGACATCAAAACTGTAGTGTCTGTGCACCTCTGGCAAGACAGTGATGGCATGAATAGTGGTAAGGTTTTAGTTTTTCTGGTCACCTTGCATGTCAATGTACATTGTTGAGAATTTATTTTAATTCATATTTTAGAGACTAAGTTATCCTTGACCAGTGGTGAACAGGTTACATGCAGCCTTAATTATCTTCTTTGTAATTGATAAGCTTTAAACCCAATTAGCTAACTTGTTTTTAAAGCCACTCTTAGTATTAGATTAAGTAGTATGTGGCACTTGTCTAAAACTCTTGCCAGAACAATACTTTCTTTGAACCAGCCATAGGCAACATGCCCTGCTTTTTAATCATTCACAACACATTCTACTTGTTCACAACACATCCTGTGTTTACTTATATCTCTGCCTAGCATGGACCAGTAGACCTATGGCAGTACTCCTTTTTTGTGTTCCTATTTATCCTAGTTATGCACAATGCCTGACAGTTTTTGTTGATTTCAGGTTACAGTGACTGGGGAGGATATTAGCCCAGTGAAACACCTGAAGCTGGCCGAGTCCACAGGTAATAGAGAAGCTGACGAGGGCATCTTGCGGAAGATTGTGGAGAAGGTAATGTAGTTCTCTAGATCCTTGCATCTCCATGGGGAAGTGGAGAAGAATCCTTATTCCGTAAGCCATGTGTGTCAAGGGGTAACTAAAATGCCAGGAGCAAGGGGATAGTAACCCCTTCTCCTGTATAAATTACTAAATGCAAAAAGAGAAAACTTTCATTTCTTCTTTTTCAGGTTGCCCTTCCTCTATGGGAGACAGCCGGTGTTAAAAAAAAAAAAAAAAATGCTGACCACTGCCTGCTTCTTAGCTGTCTAGCTGAAGCTGTACATACACCCTTTCACTAACTCTTCAGCACTCTGCAGCTTTCTACAGTTTACAAAAACAAATTTTATTTCTTTCTGCAATTTACAGAATGTGGTTTACATGTAATAAAGTATTGTTCAGCACAAAAGAAGCCACTAGCATTCGGTGCATTATGGGTAGACTAATCCTTATGCTTACACACTGTTTAAGACGACATTTTATTAAGTGGTATGTGTTGTGATTTACCATCACTGAAAAGGTTGTTGCCTGAACTTTGTAAGTTAATATAAAGAATTACTATTTAAAGAGTGACTGATGTATAGATTTAAAGATGGGGTTGTGAGAGAAGTGAATGCTCAGATGTGGGAGAGGATGTTTATCATTTCTGCACATTACCTTTCTTTCCATCTCCCACAGGCAGAGAGCTATAGCGTAGCTCTAACCTTGGCATCGTACTTGTGGGATAGAGAGGCAAATCCTCCTCCACCCTCTATTCGAATCACTGTCAACAAAGATCTGACGACAGAGGAAATAAAGAAGGCTTGTGATTCCATACAGAAAGCTGTGGTGGATGTGATGGGGTAGCTACATTATAATGCACGTGGGACGTTTTGTGATTTAACTTAATCGAAAAAGGTTGTTGCCTGAATTTAGTAAGTTAATATAAAGAGTTATTTAAACAGTGAGTGATGTATAGATACTGATTGAATTAGAATGTTAAAAGAATTTATATTTTTCCTGACCTTTTTAGAAGTGTAGGAAAGATATTTCATTTTAAAAACTGAAGTGAATATACAGAAACAAATTGGTAGAGCGGTCACACTCACTACTTGTCGGAAATGGCATGCAGCCCGGTCCCTGTTATTGCTTTGTCTAGTGAAGATGTGATCAATGAGGTTGATGAGGCACCTTTTCTTGTAATGTACACTACCTTTCGCTCCCACAGTCATATGTATTATTCTTGTTATAATCATGAGAAAGCTCTAAATCTGTAAGTCTTATAGTTCCTGGAAGTAAAAGGCTATCAGGTAATTTGAGGATGGGGAGGCTACCTCCCAAATTTATCTAATCGAGAGCCCTTCATCAAAACATCAAGATACTTACTTCAAAGTTATTTTTCTCATAAGTATTGTTGTGCTGAGTTCATTATAATGTAGCCAATTGCATTCTCCATTTTCATAATAAAAACAAACCAGTGGAATGAAGAAAAAACACTGGATACACAGTAATTCTGTCAGGCAGGAATAGTTTCATCATAATGTATGTATATATATACAGTATAGCCATTCCATTTTTCCTCTTTAATCAAACTGTTTAATCACATTTTCCTGGATCACTTCCAGCTTATATAGTGCACAGCTCCATAAAGAGTTCTAGTAAAGGTTGATGTGCTTTGCGCTCTCGGAGTGCACCAATACGGCGACTGCAGGGGCGGCATCAAGGAGATGCTGAAGCACCCATTAATTCTGTCGGCTCCCCCAAAGCTTCCCCTCCCAAGTAAGCTTACTAATAATAAATTCTACTTTGAAACCAGCCCCTTATAGCCCCCTCTTTCAATCAGATTGCCAACTCTAAACCCCTGCACAAATAACCCACACATCGGAGAAAGAAGCCTATGATGATGATTTAGTCTGACTTGGACCACTGACTAGTCAGTAGCCAAGTCAGACCAAAATGTTATAAATTTCTTTCTATGTGCAGGTTTTTTGTATATTTTATTAATGTTGGTAGAATTACTGACAATGTTCGGTAAAAGGACACAAGTGTAACTAATGTGACATTTTATTGTGGCAACATTTCGCTCTCCAGGAGCTTTATCAAACCATTATGGCTTGATAAAGCTCTTGGAGAGCAAAACATTGCCACAATAAAATGTCACATTAATTGCACTTCTGTCCTTTTACCTAACATTTTTATATATTGTTCCAGTCACAGTATTGTGCCTTTTTGTTCTTTCTAAACCCCCTCCTATATAACACTTCTATAGCCGTCCCTGAGTGAACGCCATATCATTATAGAATCTTTATCGTGGTACATGCAGTATTCTATATTTGTGATGCAAATCCTGCTAATCACTAATCATGATCATTGTTTTATAATCTAGATTCTTTTTTTTAAATTGCAGTGGTATTCATTAACATATCTATAGGGAAGTGTTAAATTCACAGGAGTTGTACAGTGTGTGGGGAATGAGAGGTAATTGGGTTTGATCTAAGGAAAGGGAGAGTAACTTCACTAATTTGAATCAAAAGGAACAAGGCACCCACCTTGAAAATGCAGTGAATTTCAGATAGACCTTTTATATAGTATTTAAGTATACTACTTTGCTTTACATTGTTGAATGAGGAACCTTTCAAAGGAAGTGTCTTGATGCTGGTTTAGGGCTCTTGATCTGAGAAATTGGAGCTACTCTGTTTTCTGATCAAGCCTGATTATCTCCTATTCCTTAGGTGCTGTGTGACCTACAGGTTTAGCTCTTCCAGTAGCAGTAAACAAGACAAAGTTAATGGGCATTATTTACAAAAGTGCTGTTTATAATTTGTATTTATAGAAGTTTGCCATTTATGTGATCCTAATGATATATTTTGGTAATGACATTATTATTATTATTACAATTTTAGTGAGCCGCCTGTGGCTGTGATTTTTATTTGTCAAGCTGGATGACTCGTAGTTCTTTTAAGCTTTCGCCATTGCATACAAGGCTGATGACTTTCTATGAAAATTTCACATAATGACCGTTATTCTGTGCTCTCATTCAATATCAAAGCATTACTGGTACCCTTTAGGTATTTTTATTCATTAAGAACCAGTATGACTTGTATCTGAGAGGTTACATGCGTGGCCGCCCTCAACGATACCAGGAAGGCTTATGGTTAGAAAAATATTGATTCCAGGTGAATATATTTACTATACAAAACATGCAGTATGCAGTTCAGGTTTATATTATATAAGTACAGGGTATATATCTTCTAGGCATTCTGTATACTGACTTCATAGGTTATAATGCATAGCTATGTCCATTCACCATTGACCTACAATTTGGAGAAGAAATTTTAGATGACATTCAGTATGTTTCAGCTGGTGGCTTCTTTAGTCCAATGCAGAGAAAGATGGAAGATGAGGAGTTTGAGGTAATCAGTCCCTCGGCCTGGAGTCGATGTGTTCAGTCCAGGCTGAGGGACTGATTACCTCAAACTCCTGGTAAGTAAGACACATAGGCAACAGTTAGGCATCTTTATTCCGAAGAATAAAAATGCCTAACTGTTGCCTATGTGTCTTACTTACCAACCTGTTGGTATTGTACACCATTTTGATATTCACCTCAAACTCCTCCTCATCTTCCACCTTTCTCTGCACTGGGTTGAAGAAGTCACTGGCTGGCAAAACGTTTCCGGAGTAAAGATACCAAAAGTTGCACAAGTGTCTAATTTATTAACTTGTCAGTTTTCTAAACCATTTATTCAAAGTTGCAACCAATGGTCCAGGATTAACTGAAATTTGCCTAACTTCCTCTCCAAATTGGCGAGATGCAAATTGTTGCAGCCACAATATTGTGGCTTATTCCATTACAGTATTACACTAAAAGATAGATTTTATTTCTTTGTAAAGGTTACAATATGAAATTACAATTTTGATTTGCTAAGTACAAAGAAAGCCACTATCATGCCGAGGCACTTCAGGCAGACTAATGACTTATTATTATTATTATTATTATTACAATTTTAGTGAGCTGCCTGTGGGTATGTGATTTTTTTCATCGAGCTGGGTGACCAGCAGTTCTTTTAAGCTTATGCCATTGCTTATGAGGCTGATAACTTTTTCTACGAAAATTTCACATAATGATTAATACAGTGGTCCCTCGCTTTTCGTAGTTCTCGGCAATCGTAAATTTCGCCAATTATAGGGGTATTTTCATATAAACATGGACTCACTTTTCATAGGTTGACTCGCGAATAGTAGTTCGTCCGGGACGCGTGCGCAGAGTGTGAGCCGGGGAGGCCTCCCTACCCAGCCAGTCTGGCATTGTTTACCAGTGAGTGAAGGTCCCCTCAAGTGCTCCTACGAAATATTTCATAATATTCCACTCATTTTAGTGCTTGCAAGTACTAAATAAGCTACCATGGCTTGAAAGAAAGCTCTTAGTGCCAAGCCTGTGGTAAAGAAGGTGAGAAATATGTACAGTGACAAACAAAGTCTTGGGCCATTTTAGGGAAGTGTTAAAGAGACGCCAGAAACAGAGCTCTCTCCACAGTTACTTTGCGAGACAGGACTAGAGTGACTCTCAAGGTGGTCCTAGTGGCATTAAGAAACAGAGAAGAGAAGCAACCCCAGAGAAGCAATTGGTACCTGAGGTGTTGCTGGAAGGGGATTTCCCTTCCAAACTGTAAACAATCCAATCTCTCTCCTCCTCCAGTCTCCCATACACTAAGAAGAATCTCCAATAAAGGTAAGTGTTATGCTGTTAATGTTTCATTCATCATTTCCCATTGTATTGTTTATGTACTACATGTATATTTCATGTAAAAAATTTTTTTGTTTTAATACTTCTGGGTGTCAGGAACGGATTAATTGTATTTACATTATTTCTTATGGGGAAAATTGATTCGCATATCATAAATTTTGTTTATAGTAGCTCCTCCAGGAACGGATTAATTACGAAAAACGAGGGACCACTGTACTCTTATGCTCCCATTCGATATCAAAGCTTTACTGGTATTATTCATTAAGAACCTTACTGCATAATAGCAGCTATCAATGTTGTTTTCTCACTTCCAGTGATCATTCTTTTATATAGATGTGTTGCACTTTCAGGATGTGCTAGAGATACTCCTAATCATTATTAATGCATTAAAAATATTCTTCGTGCATTCAGAGTGTACCTGCTATTGGTGTCTCACTAAATGCAAGGCATCCTTACATGTACGTAAATCAGAGGTATCCAGGGAAGGCTAATGCAATGGTGGCAGTATGGCATCTGGACCCAGATGGCATACTTCTCTGTTAATAAGACAGTATTCAGTTTATGGCAATATACAGTGGACCCCCGGTTAACGATATTTTTTCACTCCAGAAGTATGATCAGGTGCCAGTACTGACCGAATTTGTTCCCATAAGAAATATTGTGAAGTAGATTAGTCCATTTCAGACCCCCAAACATACACGTACAAACGCACTTACATAAATACACTTACATAATTGGTCACATTTGAGGTAATCGTTATGCAGGGGTCCACTGTATTGTTATTATAATCCAAGTGGCATTGTATTGATATTTCATCCACCAGGGACAAAACATTGTCTTAATCAAGCACCATTAACTGCATATTGTGCTTTATTTTCTATCATTGATTTACAGGAGGGTCCCACCTATACACTACTTATTTATGACTCGTGAAATCATAATGACACGATTGCAAACAAACCATACCACGGGCGGGGATAAAACCCGCTATCAGAGTCATAAAACTCCAGACCAGCACGTTAGTCACTGGCCCAGTGGCTAACGCGTTGATCTGGAGTGTTATGACTGATTGCAGGTTCTATCCCCCTGTGGTATGGTTTTTTTTTTCAACACGTTGTTTACATGGCACAGTGCTGACTACATTGAAGAAGACACAAGTTACAGAAGCTGTTATTAGAAGAAAATTTGACTTTCATGACTGAAGCTTTAACTGAAGAAAACATTATTCCAGTGTGTTTTTTTCTTCATTGGTGTTTGATTAAGAGTGAGTAATACATATGAGGGCCTGACGTACTCTAGTTTAGTACTCTTGTAACTTAGTAAAGAATTTCATAAGCATAGAACAAACACTGTATGTGTGTGTTCTCCACTCCTGTATAAGAATAAACTGTGCCCACAAGCCTAATTATAATATATAGCACAGACAAGTACCTTTCTAATTTAGAATAAATTGTTTATTTCTGTTATTTTCCTGTATTTGTGACACTTTCAAGTCTATATATGTTGGGTTATAATAAAGCTGTATTATACAGTGAAGCAAGAGATGAATGTTATGTCTTGTACTGTATTATACAGTGGAGGAAACAGATGTATGTTATGCCATGTACTGTGATTACTTATAAAAGATGGTTTAAATATTTAAAACTTGTAATGTTTTTCTTGTTTTTAATGAATGATTTTTATCCAGTTTATAAATCTCAATAGTTAGCCTGCATAATGAATTGTTTAGATTTAAGGCGATACTTCCGTACTACAGACTAGAAGAGAAGAAGAAAACCTGCCAAAGATCTTTCATACACATCTGCACAAAGTTATCAGCACAGAGTGGTATAAATTACCTACAGGAGAGCCCCGCTCATACAGCAGGTTAGGTTCCGGGTTGCTGTAGGACCCTGCTTATACAGCAGGTTAGGTTCCAGGCTACTGTAGGGCCCTGCTTATGCAGCAGGTTAGGTTCTGGGCTACTGTAGGGCCCTGCTTATGCAGCAGGTTAGGTTCTGGGCTACTGTAGGGCCCCACTTATACAGCAGGTTAGATTCCAGGGCCTGAAGCCTTATTTAAACCTCCTTTACAGGAAATTTGAAGTGTCTGTAATTGAAGAATATTTTTTTTAAATATTCAACTAGTCTATTATAGTCATCAGGAAACACCAGACCCATAAGGGTCTACAATGCCTGTGGAACAGGAGGCAATCATGATCTGAGGGAAAGGTGGCTCTCTTTCCTTGGATCAAGACTGCTTCACTGGCACCAGGACACCTCCCCAAAGGGTTAGCTAGTCAATAATAAAATTCAAAATATTGATCAAAAATAAACATGGGTAGGGGTCGTCCTCGAAAAGGTTGGAGGGAGGGGGTAAAGGAGGTTTTTTTGAGCGAGGGGCTTAGGCTTCCAGCAAGCATGCGTGAACGTGTTAGATAGGAGTGAATGGAGACGAATGGTTTTTGGGACCTGACGAGCTGTTGGAGTGTGAGCAGGGTAATATTTAGAGAAGGGATTCAGGGAAACTGTTTTTTTATATAGCTGGACTTGAGTACTGGAAATGAGAAGTACAATGCCTGCACTTTAAATGAGGGGTTTAGGATATTGGCAGTTTAGAGGGATATGTTATATATCTAGAGAAGTTGCAGAGGTTGGTGGATTGATATTTGGTAGGGTATGTAAAGAAAATATTAAAAGAGAATTACAGGAAAGAGGTTATGAGGATAAAAAGATTAGGTGATGAAAGATTAGATATCAGATTGGAGGGAGAGAGTATGGAGGAGGTGAATGTATTCAGGTATTTGGGAGTGGACGTGTCAGCGGATGGGTCTATGAAAGATGAGGTGAATCATAGAATTGATGAGGGGAAAAGGGTGAGCGGTGCACTTAGGAGTCTGTGGAGACAAAGAACTTTGTCCTTGGAGGCAAAGAGGGGAATGTATGAGAGTATAGTTTTACCAACGCTCTTATATGGGTGTGAAGCATGGATGACGAATATTGCAGCGAGGAGAAGGCTGGAGGCAGTGGAGATGTCATGTCTGAGGGCAATGTGTGGTGTGAATATAATGCAAAGAATTCGTAGTTTGGAAGTTAGGAGGAGGTGCAGGATTGCCAAAACTGTTGTCCAGAGGGCTGAGGAAAGGTTGTTGAGGTGGTTCGGACATGTAGAGAGAATGGAGTGAAACAGAATGACTTCAAGAGTATCAGTCTGTAGTGGAAGGAAGGCGGGGTAGGGGTCGGCCTAGGAAAGGTTGGAGGGAGGGGGTAAAGGAGGTTTTGTGTGCAAGGGGCTTGGACTTCCAGCGGGCATGCGTGAGCGTGTTTGAAGGAGTGAATGGAGACAAATGGGTTTTAATACTTGATGTGCTGTTGGAGTGTGAGCAAAGTAACATTTATGAAGGGATTCAGGGAAACCGGCAGGTCAGACTTGAGTCCTGGAGATGGGAAGTACAGTGCCTGCACTCTGAAGGAGGGGTGTTAATGTTGCAGTTTAAAAACTGTAGTGTAAAGCACCCTTCTGGCAAGACAGTGATGGAGTGAATGATGGTGAAAGTTTTTCCTTTTCGGGCCACCCTGCCTTGGTGGGAATCTGCCAGTGTGTTAATAAATAAATAATAAAATATGCTTCTAAACTGTTGTATCTGGGCATCTCTGCAAAGACAGTGATTATGTATGAGAGGTGAAAGTGTTGAATGATGATGAAAGTATTTTCTTTTTGGGGATTTTCTTTCTTTTTGGGGATTTTCTTTCTTTTTGGGTCACCCTGCCTTGGTGGGAGATGGCTGACTTGTTGAAAAAAAAAATAGATGCTCAATAATAACCCACATGGAGACAAACTTGGGAGATTAATTGATTTAAAACCCTCGTGGATTTAGCACTTGGTTTTGTTTGTATATTTTGACCCCCTTCAGAAGGGGATCAAAATATACAGACCAGTTAATCTCCTGAGTGTCTCCTTGTGGGTTATTATTGAGCATTAACAAGTATTCATTGCACTTTAGTTATTCATTACACAGACCTATCAAGCTTTCCTATTTTGTTAGTATGTAAAAAGTAATAAAATTAATTTCATCCATAAGCATTTACCAGAAAATAACACTAACACTCTAACCCTATAGTTGGAGTTAGGGATAGTATAATGAACCCTTTTTAAAGTGTGTAGTGAATCTCCTCTATTCTTGGTAGTGTTTCTTTAAGAATAGGTTTCTATGTTAGTACAGAAGTGCCCTGGTATCCACGTGGGGTACATTCCAAGACCTACCACAGATACCCAAAACTATGGATAGTAGTGAACCCTATATACTCTGTCCTTTTTCGTTTACATGCGTACCTATGGTAATTTAATTGATAAAATACGCACGAATGGAGAATTAGCACTTTTTCATGGTTTCTCTTAGGCTTTGAAGAACTGCCAAAATTCACTACTTTTGAATTCTGGAGCCCTTATTAAATAAATTAAGGGTTATTTTTGGGCTGTGGTAAACTATGGATAACTGAAGCCATGGAAACTGAATCCATGGATTCGGGGGGTTTTACTGTATACTCTTAATCACTTGTCTTTGTATACATTTTTTTTACTATGTTAAAAGGTTATTATGTAGCTAAATATAGTTTTTTAATGATTATAGCTTGATCCAGATTGTGAATAATTGCACTGAAGTTATAACATGTGTCCTGGTAGGTAATGAGCAAATGTTATTATTGAACTTTTCCGAAAACAATGTATCGGCAAGACTGGTGACACGGTAAGTACATTCTGAAGCACAGCCACACAAGTTACAGTTCAGGCTTATGTTAGGACATTTTGTTGTGTGTAGAGCTTTACCAAGACAGGATAGTGCTACACAAAGAAACGTCCCTATAAGAGCTCGTTCTACAAGTGTGCGTCTTTGTACTTGGTGGCAAAACTTTCATGTGAATTTACCCTCTAGACATTATTTTATATTATTAACACATTGGCCGTTTCCCGCCGAGGCAGGGTGACCGAAAAGAGAAGACACACTTTCATTTACTCCATCTTGCCAGAGACATGCCTATATTACATTTAAAAAATTACATCATCTCCATTCTATGTAGCAGTTTTATAAGTGTGGCATGCCTCTGGCAAAACAGTGACAAGTGAATGATGAAAGTGTTTCTTTCTGTCCAGGTCACCCTGCCTTGGTGGGAAATGGTCAATATGTTAATAAATGTTACTTTGCTCTCACTTCAGACATTAATTCATCTTAATTTAATATTTTATCTATCACCTAAGACCCTAATATTGTTTGCCATATAGGTGTTCTTATATTTAAATAATATACCTATAAAATGTCATCTTTGCAAGGAAAATAAAAATTAAGCAGAATGTATATCCACAATAAAGCATTTTTCCAACAGTAATCTTATTATAAATGTAATCCATCTTTGATTGTAAATCTCAGTATATAATAAAAGTAACTATTTCAGTGACAATTCAGTGCTGTATGACCTTTATGGATTTAGACCTCTTCAAGGGGGGCTCCTTGGACATGGTGAAGAGGCTCTTGGTATGAGGAATTAGACCTGTCGGTCTCCTTCCTCAGACCGAACCTTATTACCCCCCAATTCCCCCTTCCCTATCCCATCCTTCCCTTTTTCCTTTCCTCCTCCTCTTCCCCACCCCTCCCTTTTGCCCTTCCTTTTTTGGCCTTTGGGATTTTTCCCACAGGCGTGCTAGTTCCTGGGTAGGGGAAAGGGTACCAGGGTCCATCCCATTCTGTTGAGGTTCTTGGCAGTGGCGTAGTTTGCCATGGAATCTGGATCGCCTGGGGATGTCCCGATCCCTCTCCGGTATCCCGGAGAGTGGCTTTGGGTGTCTCTCGGGCGACGGGTGTATCTATGGAAGCCACCTTTCGGATTCTGGGGGTGGTGGCCGAAGGAGGTATGCTTTGTGGCAGATATCCAGCCGCCCTCTCTTTTGTCCACCAAGGTAGCTCGGCAGATGTGAGGTTGCTATCCCGGATTTCTAGTTTACTGGCATGAAGGGTAGGGTATGGCACGGGTTCCATGCTGCATCTGCACTACTTGCGGTGCTGAGGTCCTCTTGGGCGCGGAGAGAGATTTCTGGCCCTTTCATTCCTCCTAGGAACTATCCTTCCCCGGTCCCCCCCTCCCCCTTTTTTTATTATTTTTTTTTTATTTTTATTTTTTTTCTTAAAAACAAAAAGAAAGAAGTAACCTAACCATGGAGTACCCGATCCATGACCCGCTTCCCCCGGGCCCCTTATTGTTACCGCACCCCGTTCTGACCTCGCCTCGTCTTTTGGCCACTCTTCGGACATTCCTAAGGCCCCTGTACCTCTTGCTGGTGCTGTTTCCTCACCTGCTTCAGGTACCGGGGCTTCCACTGACTCCTTCGATTTGTCTGACCTCCGTTCTCCTTTGACTATGCTTCCGGCTTTTCCCTTTACAGTGCGGCGATTTTCGAATTGCCAGCCCGTCCCACGTCGGACCGACTGGTCCCACTTCTAAACGTCAACGACAATCTCCTAATGATGTTACTTCGTTACCTTCCCTTTCTACTCGGAAAAGACCGACACGTCATGCACTCCCTCTCCACACTCGGTTTCAGACCACACAATGGACTAAATTCTTTACATTAAGACCGACTTCTACTGCCTATCTTTCCGACCATAGTATTGGCAAAGCGCTCCTACGCCACGTTAGTAGAGAT